TATACAAAAATTATAAATACTGTCTGAAATAAAGTAGACAGAAATAAGTTTTTAGGAAGAGGCATTGGTTGCTGCAGAATGTCTCAGAAAGCAGCTCACCACTAAGCCTCTGGATAACGCGGGTGCGCGCAGATAAGTCCAACGATAGCACTTGTCTCAGGTCATGTACAAAAAGTGCAGCAAGTGTAGCATGAGTACGTAAATAACGTGTACCCAATAAATATCAAGCCTAATCTCGAAGAGGTAGAGACGAGAGGTCGACTTTGACACTCACTAAGGGTCAATAATAATAATTGAAATAAAATATGGAATTATTTAAATCAACATAATTCATAGAGCTAACAACAATCTTATTTAACCAACATAAATAATTAAATTCCTTCAAATGCAACAATTTCCAATCTATTAATTAAATTCACAAGTTGCAATTGAAATGCCAAGGTATCGTGTAATTATTATTATTATTATTAGGCACGATTTCTGCCGAGGTCGTACGACTCGATCCAGAGTGTCGTGTACACTGCCAAGGGACGTGCGGCGCGATCCATAGATGCATCTATACTGCCGAGGCGTTCGACCCGCTCCACAAGAAAGGAGGACATTTTCTTATGTACCTCCGGAATGAGAGTATATTTATTATAAGATTAATTCGAGAGGATGAGTAATTTTTTTTAATAATTAATTAATTTAAACAGAAAATTAAGTATATAAGATTCTCATCTTTTACTACCTTTACCTAACAATTCAAAATATATATTATAAATAATAATTAAATAAAGAATACAATTTACACACGTAATTCATGATTTGAGTCCTAAACTACCCGAACTTTAGCATAAATAGTAGCTACGTACGGACTCTCATCACCTCGTACATACGTAACTCCCCACACTTAACAATAATTATTAATTTAATCACTTATGGGGTAATTTCCCCCTCACAAGATTAGACAAGAGACTTAGCTCAACTTGCTCCAATTTAATACACTACTAGGCATTTTCCTCGACTATCTAATTATGTATGGCTCGAATCTAGCCAAAATAATTCGATACAATCACTAAAAATTATAGGAATCAATTTTATAAGAAAATACTACAATTTTCAGTAAAAATCCGAAATTAACTCAAAATTCGTCCGTGGGGCCCACGTTCCGGAATCCGGCGAAAGTTACAAAATATGAACGCCCACTCAACCACGAGTCTACCCATACCAAAATTACTAAATTCCGATAACAATTTGGCCCTCAAATCCTTAAATCTATCCAAGAGGGTTTTTCAAACTTTTCCAACTTAATTCACCAATTAAATGATAAAAACAGTGATGGATTCAGGTAATTTAACAAATATTGAGTTAAGAACACTTACCCCATTGTTTTTTCTGAAAATCTCCCAAAAATTGCCTCAATCCAAGCTCCAAATCGGTAAAAATGGAAAATGGGATGAAGTCCCATTTTCAGAACTTAAACTCTCTGCCCAGTGATTTCTTCTACGCGATCGCGAAGCACAATTTTATCACTGTCTAAATTAACTCTACATGATCGCGGAAAGTCCCACGCGATTGCAAAGTACTAACTCCGCAAACCTACGCGATCGCGAACCTTCTCACACGATCGCATAAAACAAATATCCAAGTGCCCAATTAAGCCTACGCGATCGCAACCCAATTCACGCGATCACGTAGAACAAAGTCACCTCTGCCCAAATTACCCTACGCGATCGCAGACGAACTTACGCGATTGCGTATTAGGAAATCGGAAGAAAAATACGAGCAGCTATCAGGAATCTCCCAAATGCCAAAAATGATCTATTAGCCGTCCGAAACTCACCCGAGCCCCTCGGGACCTCAACCAAATATACCAACAAGTCCTAAAATATCATATGAACTTAATCGAAACTTCAAATCACATCAAACGACGCTAAAATCACGAAATCATACTCCAATTCAACCTTAATGAAACTTAAAATTTTCAACTTCTACATTCGGTGTCGAAACCTATCAAATCAAGCCCAATTGACCTCAAAATTTGCACACAAGTCATAAATGACATAACTGAGCTATGAAAATTTTCGGAACTGGATTCCGACCCCGATATCAAAAAGTCAACTCGCCGGTTAAACTTCCAAACTTAAATTCTTGTTTTAGCCATTTCAAGCCCAATTTAACTACTCACTTTCAAATAAAATTCCGAACATACTCCTATGTCCAAAATTAACATACGGAGCTATTGGAACCGTCAAATCTCGATTCCGGGGTCGTTTTCTCAAAATGTTGACCGAAGTCAAACTTAAACATCTTAAGGCCAACTTAAGGAACCAAGTGTTCCGATTTCAACTCGAACACTTCCAAATCTCGAACCAACCATCCCCGCAAGTCATAAATTAATAAAAACACATACAAAAAGTTTTATTTAGGGGAACATGGTTTTAAAAGTTAAAATAATTGGTTGTGTCATTACAATCGTGCACGATTAAAGTGATATTCCGACGTACTCGTATTATTATTTTTTTACACTAATTAAAAATAATATTCCATGCTTTAGGTTATGAGAGTTATTTGTCTAAATTATTATTTTTATCTTTCTTAAACATCTTATTTTATTGGTACTTCACTAACTGATAATAAAAATAAATTAATTTTTTTTTAGTAAAAATGTTGTTATTTAAAAGATATTATTCTGAATTGATTAGTAATATTTGGGAACCGGATAGAGTAATTACTAAACAAGTAATTACTTTTGTAATTATTATGAAAACGTACAACTTGGATTCCATAAAGAATTGTGGTTAGGGTATATGACAAGTGGGGGTTGGGGTATAGAAAAAACAAATGGCGTACGTGCTGCTGCAGCACGGGTTTTGAAAGCTTAGTTTGCAGTGCGAAAACCTGCAGCATTGGGGAAAGTAATACTACTAACCTTTCTCTCTCAAGTCGAGTCTTTATCATATTTTCTCGCTCTTTCTCTAAATATATTTTGGTGGTCAATTGTCCTTTCATCGAATTGGACAAAACATTGCTGACTAGGACTATGGTATTCAGTTTTCATGTTCTGTCCCTACTCTACCTTTCGAAAATGAGTTAAATATCCTAAAATTCCTTTTAACTATCAATATTTTTATCTATTTAAATTATAGGGTGTTTTTAAAATCATTCCTGAATTATATTATATTAAAAACTTTTGATTAAATTCTTAGAAGTTAGTCTAGTACATGCTCCTAATTAACTAAAAACATGTCATGTGGTACTACAAGTGGCTATTTAACTGAGCCTAAATCCCATCTCCAAACTATCTGAAGTCCTCAAAACCTCGTGAACTATATTTCTCTGTATATGATGAAGAGCTCCCTGTTGAATTCTTAGAGATGTGTCTGTATAACTATATTAACTTATAGTTTATACTAAGTTTTGTTCTAGCTCGATTACTCGTGGTATATTACTCTCGGATGATTGATTAATTTTAGACATTTTTTGCCAAAGTAGTTCTAATACAAATGTGTTATTTTTAGCTTTAATTGTAATTGTGTTGTATGCTAGATTTTAGTTTAATAAGTCTTTGTTTGCAAACAAAATGAACAAATAGTGTTGCATTTCTAAAAAAATCATCTTATGTTACACAAACAAGATTATACAAACTAATATTCCACAAACAAGAAGCCAATCGGCCAATAACTACATTCTCTAATTCTAAATTATAAAAATAAGGTTCAAGAGATTCAACTTTATTCTCTACAAAGTGTTGGATTTAATAGAAATATTTAAATGGGTATTATCTCAACAATATGGTTAAGAAATAAAACAAGACTAAAAGAAGAAAAAGAATAAATAATTATAAAGAAACAAGAGAGGTGAAAATATTTCAAAGGAAACCCTTATGGAGAACGGAAGAGGAAAGGTGAAAAAATGATGAAGAAATGAAGAAAAAAGGTGAAACAATACGGAAGAAAGGTGAAAAAATAAAGCAAATGAGGAGAAAATAATAAAAAAAATATTATAAATAGAATTGTATTTAAGGTGAATATCTATATTTTAGAGAGGTTTTAGAGTTTGTGACTAAGTGGATGTTTGGATTAGCTTTCAAGCTGGTCAAATCAGCTTTAAGCACTTTTTAGCCTTTTCAGTGTTTGACAAAGTTAAAAAGTGCTTAAAATAAGTTAAAAATTGCTTAAAACAAGCCAAAAATAATAAGCGGGGCAACCCCAATTTATTGCTTTTTGGCTTAAAAGCTATTTCTGCTGACAAGTCACTTTTTTTAAGCCAATCCAAACAGGCTCTAAGTCACGTTTTCCCTATAAATAGATTGGTTCTATTAAATTGTAAATCATCATAAAAAATCAATAGAATTCTCTCTCTTTTATTTGCAATATTCTTCTTTTCTTTTATTGTTTTATTTCACGTTACCAGCATGAGACTCTATCGTCTCAAGAAACTCTTTGAGAAGACTAAGATATAATTTTTCTCATCTTTTAATTACGACTGATATTATGAAGAGAAAGTTCGTTGTCCTTGAAATTTTAGGCAAGAACTATAGGTCATTGGTGATGCTGAAATCCATTTAGATGCAATGAGTCTTGTAGATGCCATTAAAGATAAAAATAAAGTATCTACCCAAGATTGTGCTAAGACCTTGATTTTCTTGCGCCATCACCTTGATGAAGGGTTGAAGTTAGAATATCTCACAATCAAAGATCCATTTGTTTTGTGGAATGGCTTAAAGGAAAGATATGATAACTTAAAGTTGGTCACACTTCCACAAGCACGATATGATTTGGCTCATATGAGGCTCCAAGACTTTAAATATGTTTCTGAATACAATTTCGCGATGTTCAGAATTACTTCTAAATTGAAACTCTGTGGAGATAGTATCACTGACTATGATATGCTTGAACAAACGTTCATAACATTTCATGCCTCCAATATGGATCTGCAACAACAGTATCGAGAGAACGTTTTCAAGAAATACTCTGAGTTGATTCCTTGTGGTTGAACGAAATAATTTCTTGCTCATGAGAAATCACGATAATCGACCCACTAAGTCTACACCATTGCTTGAAGTGGATGAGGTGTATTCCCATTATGCTAAGCGTGAAAAAAGTCGTGGCCCTGTTCGTGGCCGTGGCCAAGGAAGAAATTCTCCTAGCGTTAATCATCTCCCAAAGAAAAATAACCACCAAAAGTGGAAAGGGAAAGATGAGAAGCCAAAGGCAAAGGGTTCAGAAACTGAATGCTATCGTTGCGATGGAAAAGGGCATTGGACAAATACTTGCCGTACAACAAGATATTTAGTTGAGCTTTATCAAACATCTCTAAAGAATAAAGGCCCTGAAACTAATTTTGTTTCTGACAATGAATTTGACATCACCCACTTGGATGTGGCAGATTTCTTTGAACACTCTGATAAAAAAATAGACTACTTGATCAGTGATGAATCTGTGGTTAAAGATGATCGAGTAGTTTGATTTTTATTTTTGCCTATTCGTTATAGCTAATGAATAAAAATCATGTAATTATAGTTCTTTACATGAGTAGTGGTCATTAGTATCAATTAGTATTATTTATTTTATGAAATAATGTTAGTTCGTTTTGATTACATATAGTTCTAGTATTCGTTTTAAGTAATATTTTCAGCCTTTGACCTTGTCATAATTATTTATATACACGTGCATGTGGTGAGAATTCATGTGTTGCATATTGCTTTAGCTAACAATCTTATACTAATAAATTCTTACCATGTATTTCTAATATTAAAATGTATGTTAAGTGAAATGTGTCAAAACACATGTAACTATTCCGTATATTTACTGTTTAATAAATGCCTTTACATATTGTACTACTGTAACGAAAATTTATCATAAGTGTAATAGTGTCTTTTAGCTGTGCACAAACACCTGGCAGTCAATGCAATCTTACAATCCATCATCCATGTAGTACATAAGAGCATATCCTAATTTTACGGTTTATGTTTAATGGTGCCAAATATTAATGTTTATTCGTATATTTCTTTTGTATGTCAAACCATGGAAAGCAAATATGAATATCTCTCAAAACAAACTTGGATCAAAATTCAATTGTAAAAATATTTGTTTAATTGATTTATGTACGGCACATACAATATTCAAAAAGGAGAAATATTTCTCTCATTTAATTATGTGTAAGGCAGATGTTACTATAAATTTTGGAAGTAGTAATTTAATTGAAGGCTCTGGAAAAGCTACTATAACTCTGCCTAGGGGAACAATACTTATCATAAATAATTCAATATTCTCCTCCAAGTCTAGGAGGAACTTGTTTAGTTTTAAAGATATCCGCCGAAATGGATATCATATTGAGACAATAGATGAGAATAACCTTGAATATATCATCGTTACTAAGAATGTCTCTGGCCATAAAAGGATTATTGAGAAGTTCCCATCTTTGTCTTGTGGCATGTATTGGACAAGAATGGGTGCAATTGAGGCACATTCTATCGAAAACCAAAAGGTTACTGATTCCAATGTTTATATACTTTGGCATGATCGATTGGGACATCCTGGATCAATTACGATGAGACGAATTATAGAAAACTCAAATGGGAATCCATTAAAGAATTTAAAGAATCTTTTAAATAATAAATTTTCTTGCACTTTTTGTTATCAAGGCAAGTTAATTATTAGACCATCACCAACAAAGATTGGGATTGAGTCCCATGTATTTTTGGAACGTATACAAGGGGATATTTGTGAACCTATTCACCCACATAGTGGGTCGTTTAGATATTTTATGGTCTTAATAGATGCATCCTCTAGATGGTCTCATGTGTGCCTATTGTCATCTCGCAACTTAGCGTTTGCAAAATTAAAGGCACAAATAATTCGATTATAGGCATAATTTCCTGATAATCCAATTAAGTCTATTAGACTTAATAATGCTGCTGAATTTTCACCCCAAGCATTTAATGATTACTTTTTATCAATTGGAATAAAAGTGGAACATCCTGTAGCTCATGTTCACACTCTAAATGGCCTTGTGTAATGATCCAGTCGGTCGTTTTGAGCATTTGTATTTCGTTCAGCTGTTTGACGTATAGAGTAGTTTCATATGATGTACTATGACTTGTGTAAATTGTCGGTTTTGATTTTTAGGTGGTTCTGAATTAGTTTGAAAGACTGATTTTCATGTTTGAAACTTTAAGTTGGAAGAGTTGACCAAGTTTGACTTTTATGTATTTGATCAGAATTGGAGATTTGATGGTTTCGTTAGGTCCGGATGGTGATTTTGGACTTAGGCGTATGCCCGATATTTGTATTTGGATACTTCTAAAAGGTTTCAGCACTGTTTGGCTGAAATTGGAAATTTGAAGGTTTGGAATATTTATGAGTTTAACTGAGAGTTGACTTTGATGATATCAGGTTCGAATTATTGTTCTAGGAGTTGAAATAGGTTCTTTATATCATTTGGAACTTATGTGCAAAATTTGAGGTCATTCCGGGTTGATTTGATATGAATCGACACGAGTTTTGGAAGTTGGAAATTAAAAAGTTCTTCAAGTTTGATTTGAGGTATGATTCATCATTTCGATGTTGTTATGCATAATTAGAGGCCTCGAGTAGGTCCATGTTATATTTTGGGACTTGTTGGTATGTTCGGACGGGGCCCCGAGGGGCTCGGGTGAGTTTCAGACGTGGTCAGATCATTTGGGAATATGTTGGTTAAGGTTGGTTGTGGCAGGATCTGGTGTGATCGCATCTGCGTAACTCCAGGTGCAGGTGCGGACGAATGGACGTAGATGTGAAAGGCCTGAGATTTGGAATCTCTGCAGATGCGAGTTATGGGAGACATCCGCGTAAGCGCAATAGTGATTCCAAGGAGTGCAGAAGCGATTATTTGCGCAGAAGCGATTGGGAGCTCGCACTTGCGATGTCACTGATGTGGAAAAGTTTCCACAGGTAAGAAGGATTTGATTCTTTAGTATTTCCGCAGAAGCGGATGTATTGACCCATAAGGGACACTGCAGAAGGGCTCTTCTGCTTGCAGATGCGAAAATGCTATATAATCCGAGGGTTGTTCATTTGGTCATATTTTGAGATTTGGAGCTTGATTTTCGGCGATTTTGGAGAGGAATTTCACCACATGGATTGGGATAAATATTCTTGACTCACTTTTGATTATATTTCTTGAATCTATCTTCGATTTTGGCATTTGGTTTATGAATTTTAAAGATAAATTGGGGGTTTTTTGGGCTAAACTTTCATAAAGTGAATTCTTGAGTTTTGAACATCGATTCGGAGTCGGATCTGAGTGAATTTAGTATGGCGGACTCATAATTTAATGGCTTGTTAGATTTTTTGAATTTTGTCGGGTTTCAAGGCGTGGGCCCAGATTTGACCTTTTAGTTGCTTTTGAGTAAATGTGTAAAGATTCAACCTTTATCATTTGGGATTGTTTCCTTAGGCATTATTTGATATTTTTGAGTTGCTTTTAGCTAGTTTTAAGCTGTTCGGAGGTTGATACACACAAGATGACATTTTTAGAGTATTGTTTGGCTTGCTCGGTATTGAATTTGGCTTATTCGAGGTAAGTAACATTTCTAAACTTGGAATTGAGGGTAATTAACCCTGGGAGCCATGTTATATGAGATGTTGTGGGGTGACGGCCGTGCACCGGGGTAGTTACGACTGAAGTTGACTTTAAGACTATTACTAGGCTTGTTCTATTATAATATCTAGTTATACCCGTGTTTTCCCCTACTTGTTGCTTAATTGAGATGTGATTCATGTTAGAAATCATGTTTAGGTTATGTGCTTATTCAATCGAGACCTAATGAGGTTATTTTTGTTATTTTGAGTGATCAGATTTAACTGTAATTATACACTCAGTTATGATTCGTCATTTTGTATCATATCTTAGTCTCTTTTCATCATTCATCATTACATCGCATGTTATCATTGTTGCACCATATGTGGAGTTGCTGGGCTGAGTGGTATGAGATGGGAGCCCTTGAGACTTGAGAGATTGATGATTGAGGTAGGCCTGAGAGCCGCGTTGTGAGTGTTATTGTGGATCGGGCTGCACGCCGCAGCATGCATATTGTCTTTATTACTACTATTATTATTATGGATCGGGTTGCACGCTGCAACTGCCTTATAAGATTTATTATTATTGTGGATCAGGCTGCACGCCGCAACATGGCGTATGCTTGGGTAGGATCTGTCCCTCCGGAGTCTGACATACAGTGATATATATATATATATATATATATATATATATTGCTTTGGTGATGGGCTTATGAGTCAGGCACCCATATTATGCTGAGTGATTTTGTGTGTGTGTGTGTATGATGAGGTGGCATTTGAGACAGACAACTTGATTATGTTGAGGGTGAGAATACTTGAGAATATTATCATGATATCATTTATTTGGCATACATACTTGTCATGTAGGCATTGAGATGCATTTTTTCTCATGCTAGACGATGCTGTGACATTATTGATTTGACATGTACATTTGACATGTAGGCATAGAAATGTATATTCCTCATGCTAAACAGTATATGGTAATTGATGACTTGACACGTATATTGACATGTAGGCATAAAGATGTACTTTCCCCATGCTAATTGGTAAACAAAAATTCTTATCTGATATTGTGAATTGGAAATACAGTTCTTTTGATAAACTCATGTTTTGGTGGTTTTTAAATTGTAATGTCTCGACTTGACGTTATACCTGGAAAGCATGTCTACCTTTTCAAGACTGTGAATGAGCTGAGTATAATATCTTCTGAGTTATTACTTGTACTACTTTTATTATGTCATTATGAGTTACTTTTTGTTATTCGGGTTGGACACTGACCTTCTTCCGAGCTCATCACTACTTTCAACCTAAGGTTAGGTTTGTTACTTATTGAATACATGGGGTTGGTTGTACTCATACTACACTTCTGCACCTTGCGTGCAGACTTTGGAAGCTGATGTTGCTGTGTATGGCGGGAGCTAGCATTGAAGATGTACTTGTGTTCTGGTTATAACTGCCTCTTGTTCTTGGTAGCTTTAGATCTATAAATCTATTTATGTATATTTCGAACAGATGATGTATTTATTTCGCACCAACTTTGTAAATTTTAAGTCTTAAAAGCTCATGACTTGTACTACCAATCCTTGAGATTTTGTATAGAAAGCTCAGTTATTTTAAATATTGATTCCTGCTAATTCTATTTGAGTTGTATTGTCTATCATTTGTCTTACCTAGTAGGTTAGGTTTGGTTCCATCACGACTAGCTGAATTTTGGGTCGTGACAAGTTGGTATCAGAGCCAGGTTCATAGGTTCTGTGAGTCATGTAAGGCCCCATAAAAATTTTACCTAAAACCCGAGGTTTCGTGGTGCCGAGGTAGGCTAATGTATTTGAGGGTTGTAGAAAATCTTCGAGAGATGTCTTTAGTACTCGGTGTTTCATGTATCCATATTGAAGAAGGTGGTTGGA